GATTCCAGTCGGATGCAGGATTCCAGTCGGAGTTCAACGAGCGAACGGATGATATCCCGGAATATAGTGTCATCACATTTTTCCATCCGTGAATCAATACGTGAGAATATATATATATATATATATATATATATATATATATATATATATATATATATATATATATATATATATATATATATATATATATATATATATATATATATATATATATATATATATATATATATATATATATATATATGTGTATATATATATATATATATATATATATATATATATATATATATATATATATATATATATATATATATATATATATATATATATATATATATATATATATATATATATATATATATATATATATATATATATATATATATATATATATATATATATAATATATATATATATATATATATATATTATATATATATATATATATATATGCATCAAAGCGGGTCAAAAGCGTTTTAATGTAACAAAAAATGTATACCATTTTTCGAAAAAAGGTGCGGCAGGTATGTGGACCGACTTCTTTCGTGTCAAAAAAAAGGCGTAATCCAAAATAATAACTTGACCTTGGACCACATATTTGTTTGGGAATATTTGGCTCCCTATTCGAAATCTCATCCTCTAGTCCGGTAGACTTAGACATAAAAATAACAAAAAATCTTGAAGCTATCCAAAGTCTATTGCAATCGCCAAAGTAAACATTTTTTTTGCATTTTTTAGACATTTCTCAAAATCTTCAAGTTTTCTCGACATAAAATGATTTACAAAAAGACCTTTTTTCCTAACGTTCATTCATGACGTATAAGGAAGGCTCCAACTTCACCATCTCACGTACCCGTGGCCATCATCTTTTTTGTTGACTGGCGGACTCTGAATTTCCTTGGAGGTGCTTCACCCTTACGACGCCACTCCATTGATTCTTTTTTCGATAGAGGGTCATAAAAGAGAACCATAGTTTCATCTGTCACAATAGTTTCTATCACAGGCTTCGGTTCCGAACCACAGAGTTCCAAAAAAGACCGCGCACACTCGACACGGCGTTGTTTTTGAATAGCCGAAAGGTTTTTAGGAACCCATTTTGCACTAACCTTATGCAGGATTCGACGAACACTTGTATCAGAGAGCTTAGTAATTTCTGAGACTTCCTTGACCTTTAAACGTCGATCACTCAATATACCAACTCTTCCACAATCGCAACAATATCTTCCGTTCGACCTCCACTGGTCGACCAGTTCTTGAATCATCTTCAAGGGACTCCTGCCCCATTCGAAAACGTTTTGCCCATTCTTTCACTACAGAATACGAAGGAGAACTTTGGCCGTACATATCATCCAGCCTTTCTGTCAATAAAAAACTATTTGACGCAAGTCTTCAATTTTTTTTTCGCAGCCTACTAAGACATGTCTTTAAAAGAAGGCTGGGAAATTTTGGCGCTAACCTCGTATGGTAAATTTCTGATATATTTATGAATTTTTAAAAAATATATTAAATGAGATACATTACTTTTAGGCGCCATTTGGATACCCTGTATACTTATTTGTTGACCTGTTAATAATTAATGTGCAATGTTTAAAACAGTAACAGAATTAATATTTTCCTTATTGTTGCCGATATTAACAATTAAACAACAATTTCAGAGGTTGATAGCGAAAAGGTACGGATATCCTTTCGAAAGGCACACGGTAACCACTGAAGACGGCTACATTCTCGACCTGCACAGGATCCCCGGGGGCTATAAGGCTCCGGGACGAAGTAAGCGGATTCCGGTGCTGTTGCAACACGGGGCCGGAGGTGTCTCCGCGTTCTGGATGCTCCAGGGAAACAACTCTGTCGGTACTAAAAGCTTTCGTGTTTGTTTTAGTATTAATTAGACCGCTACGCGCGTAAATGCGCATCATGGCGTCGCGCATTTCTCTCCATTACTTTGCATTACTCGTTGTCGATGGCGCCAAAGCAATTCACGTAATCTGTTGAGTATATAAAAATGCCACCATAGGAAAAAATCTTATAATACGACCAAAAATATAGTGCTTTGATGTATTTTACAGTACCTTACCCCGAGACCTTCGCAGGACCGTGGTAAAACCTATCTCAACAGATGTTTATTCTGCATTAAGCAGGTAAAAATATAAAAAATATATAAAAGTGTCTAAAAATTATAAACAATACCATAAATAAAAAATGTCTTAATTCTTTGAATACCTTTTACGAGAAATAAGTAATAATAAATCCAAATAAATAAGAACTAAAAGTTCAGATTTTCACGAAATTATATATTTTTACATGACAATTGTTTCGACAACACGGTGTCTTTACCAAATGTTTGCATCATTTGATAAACACACCCTGTTGTCGAAATAATTGTCATGTCAAAATATATAATTTCGTGAAAATCTGAACTTTCAGTTCTTATTTATTTTGATAAATTGATTTTCATCAAGTAAAAGCCACCCCGGTTCAATTAATAATAAATGAAAATATTATTTACCTACCTGCATTCGAATCTTGGTGGTTATTAGCGCAAACATCATGGTGTCTTTGAACAATCCCTTGAATTTCTTTCTTGCATTAATCAAAATTAAAAAAATCACAAAATCAAAAAATCGCTGATTTTTGAGTTTTTTCATAAAAATCAAATTTTCTCCAACACTGGTGCTAATAGAGATAAACTCTATTATGACCCTTGTTAAAAGTGCGTTTGGACAGATTTGCAAGCGGTTATTAAGTTGTCATTTTTTTCAGCTTTCGTTTTGGCCAATCAGGGCTACGACGTGTGGCTACTGAATCACAGGGGTACATACTATTCATCCAAACACCAACGTCTTACTACGAACGATCCGCAATATTGGAATTTCGGGTAAGAAGACACTTCTATATACAGGGTGTCCAAATTGTGTGTCAGAGTAACTTATTTCGTTCACGAAATATATATATATATATATATATATATATATATATATATATATATATATATATATATATATATATATATATATATATATATATATATATATATATATATATATATATATATATATATATATATATATATATATATATATATATATATTGTGTGTGGTTCAAAAATTTGAGCAAAATGGATCTGTAACTAACCTCAAAGTCCCTCATCGTGCTCGTGCGGGTCGGTCAGATCAAGATATTGCCATTGTTCGTGAAAGTGTAGCCGAAGATCCAAACACATCGATTCGTCATCGATCGCAGCAACTGGGCCTTACTTATTCAACCACACAGCGAATTTGAACAAAAGATTTGCATCTACACTCACATAAAGTCCAAATAACTCAGGAGTTGGAACCTCGAAAAGAGTGCTCTGTGGCAGCGATCTCAGCTTGGATTTAAAAATCAGAATGGTGCGATGCTACGTTTTGTCGTGTGTAGAGGCTTGGACTCTGAAGAAACTGGACATAAGGAAACTGGAGGCGTTCGAAATGTGGTTGTACCGTAGAATGCTTAAGGTAAAATGGACCGATAAAGTGACCAACATGGAAATCCTGAAAAGAATTTAAAAAAGAAAAAGAAATTATCATTACGGTAAAAAAGCGAAAACTTCAGTACCTTGGACACGTCATGAGAGGAGAAAAGTACCAACTACTCCAACTGATATTACAAGGAAAAATTCAAGGAAAGAGAAGTGTAGGAAGAAGGCGTCACTCATGGATGAGAAACTTACGTGACTGGTTCGGGTGCACCACAAACCAACTGTTTCGGTCGGCTGTGTCCCGAATACGAATAGCACTGATGATTGCCAACCTTCGCAACGAAGACGGCACTTAAAGGAGAAGAAGAATAGTTAAGTCTAAAAAATTAATAGAGCTATCCTGTTCAATCTCGATAGTGATTTTTATACGATTATGTAATTAGTTAATGTAATTTAAAATAGAATCCACGTATCTATACCACCATAGAAAACTTTTACTTGAAGGATCTTCTAGTATGATAATTTCGTGAAAATCTGATCTTTTAGTTCTTATTTATTTTGTTTCGGTGGTATGATGAATTCTTTTCCGAAACGAGGCGAAACTAGATTCGCGAATAATTTCGCGCGCTGATGAGGTTTGGATATGACCCGATAATTTATATAGACTAGGAATGACGTTATGACCACAGCAACGCAATAAAAAACCTTAATAGACGTTCACGTTTCCGCTTTTCAGATTTCATGACGTAGCCGTGTACGATCTGCCGGCCTGTATCGAGTACGTTGCGTCGAAAACCGGCTCGAAGGGCAATCTGATTTACGTCGGACATTCGATGGGAACGACCACGTCGTATGTTTATTCCATGATTAAGAAAGGACACGCCCGCGATCATTTGAGTGGTATCGTCTCGCTCGCTCCGGTGGCCTACATGGGCAACGTCACCGGCATGTTCAAGCTAATCGCTTCTAGCGTCTCGCCGATAAAGGTGGGTGCATCTTCCCGTTCGACAGGATATAAACGGGATAATTATTCCAATCGCGGGTTCGTTCGATTCTCTCGCGTCGAATATAAATTGCTGACGTTTTGGCGGAGTCGCTGGTTAGATGCCTCGCGCCTCTAAAGACAACTAAATGCGCTTATATTCTCGGAAATACGCCAAATTGTCGAAGGTTTTTACTGGATGAAAATCCATTTATCAAAATAAATAGGAACTAAGAGTTCAGATTTTCACGAAATTATATATTATGACGTGACAGTTGTTTCGACAACACCGTGTCTTATCAAATGTTGATTTGTTGTTGTGTACCAATGAATTAGCCTCGAACTTGTTAACTTGATTCGTTTTAATAATCTGGTGATGATTGACATTGGTTGTTAGAAAATTTAACAGATATTCTACCGTATTAGATGGGCTTACTGTCAAGGAATCGTAATTTTCACAAACTGTTACCTCAAGAGTCTGAGAAAACTGCTTGAGAACTTTCATATTAATGACAACACCTTCATGCTCGGAAAACCCCGTCTCAACATTACCAGCGCTGTAAAAGGTATCACAAAAGTTTACAAAAGAGGATAACATGTCCAGTTTGTCATTTCGATCAACGTCAACGAAGGCAAAATACCTACGTTTCTCTCAGAAAGTTTTTTTCGAAAATGGAGGTCAATGAGGTCTATCCACAGATACCATAAAGTTCCCCCCAGCGGTTATATTAGTGCGGGAATGGACTTCTAATTGTTATTTGTTCTATATTATTTGCAAAATGGAAATACGGTTGTTCTAGTTTTTCAATATGACCAACTTTGTGGAGGGATGTTAAAGACTTCGGTTTCTATAATTTTGAGGACATTGGGGTTAACACGGGGAAAAACATTATTACGACAAATGGCAGATTTCAACATGTTCAATGGGATTAAATATACAGTGATAGAAAGAGAAAATAAATGTCGTTATTGTACATGTAGTGGATTGTTGTTTTGTGTCACATGAGGAAGGGGTTTTAGTCAACTGTCTCCTGTGATAACTTGCATTGTCCATTACAATTATGCTATTAGGATGAATGTTTTCAACTAGTTTGTTTTTAAACCAACTTTCAAATAAATCATGGTAATCCAGAGAAGGATCTTTAATATTTTTCGCAGACAGAGAAAGTCGAATTTACATTTTTGATTTTTTAAAATATCTATGTTGCTCCGACGTCAATGAGGTCTTCTCGCAATACCAAAAAGTCCCCCCAGCCCGCTTCATTTAACTGAAATTAAGCATTTTTTAAAAAATTGCAGCGTCTCACAAAAACCATTCCCGACGGCAAACGGTACAACATGGATAAGACTTTTTGGTATTGTCAGATAGAGAAAGGACCAAGGTATATAACGTGTAAATTTAAATTTCCCAAATTTAAAAATAAGCGAGATAAAAAACTTTCAAAACGAACCACTGATTTTCGGGCCGATTTTTCAGCCCAAAATGGGATTTCGAAGTTATTTCTCAAATGTGAATAAAATTCTGCACAAGGGGGGTTTTCGAGAACGAGATATTCGAATTTGTAATTCTTTTTTGAAAATGTCTGTTAACTATCTACATTTTTTTTTTTTAAATTGACATTTTTTTGACCAATATTTTGTCTCCCGGAGTAGCTAAGAAACTTAGAATTAAACAATGTACTATTTTTTTTTTTAATATCTCCCCGAAGGTATATCCTCAGATACTATAAAATCCACCCAAACCATTTCCATTTACTCGTAATTAATTATTTTACAAAAATTTGTAGCCGCCTACAGAAACCGGTAAAACGGTAAAAAGATTAATAGCAAATTAAACTTAACAAGAGTTTAAGTTTTTCTACAAATATAGAAAAATTGCCTCGAGAGCCAGAGCGATAAACACTGATTAAAATAAGATTAAGCATTGGTATCTCCACACCACAAAACTCTGCGTAAAGATCCAGACAATGTTGACTCAGATTAAGACTGCTACAATGTTATTTTTAACATATATAGCAGTTCCTCTTCTGCAGGTACTGAGACGACAATAATATCCAACTAGTTTATAATTGGGAACCTTAATAATATTAAGCAACTCCTCACCATTTACAAAATGTTCACAGAAACACACGATTGCAAAAGCAATAGAACTTAGATATTCAGTAACCACATAATAACAATAATAATAGCAATGATAATAATAATATCGTGCACATACCGACCCACCAAAGAAAACAAATCAGTGCTCTCACAAAATACTTCAACGACGACAACACAAACAGCCAAATGTACAAAACTCTAAGGAAAATTGATAGAAAATTGACACCACTAAACCTAGCACAGGGCAAGGAGATGAAGCAGGTGAAGACAACCTCGAAGAGAAGTGGAAAACAAAGGAACTCCATGGCCGCTATGCGGCAACACTGATGCAACCGCATATCAACAAAGACGCATCCCTGAATTTTCTAAAATAAGGATACTTATTCCCCGAAACCGAAGCATTTTTAATAGCAATACAAGACCAGGTCATTGACACAAGAAATTATAAAAAATACATATTGAAGGAAAATATTCCAACAGACAAATGTAGAATCTGCGGAGAACAAACTGAATCGACCACATAATAAGCAGATGGCGAACGCTTGCCCCAAAGGAATACACCAAGAACTCTTGACACTACACGACACAGAAATGAAGGGGACAATACCGTACTACAAATACAATCCAAAAAGTGTAGTTGAAACGGAAAACTACAAAATGTACCGGAACAGAGATATAATAACCGATTTATCTCTGCAACATAATAGACCAAACTTGGTGTTTACCGAAAAAAAAAAACAATCATACTTACCTGATTGACTTCTCCGTCCCACTCGCCGCAAACCTGCGAAAAAAGCACGACGAGAAAATTAGTAGGTACTTACCTCTTGCCAATGAAATAAAAGGTATGTGGAACCAAGAAACAGTCATTGTAGTACCAATTACACTGGTTGGCAATGAACCCTCCTTTAAAAATTTTCATGATAAATATAAAGATTCAAACGTTTTGAATCTATCCCCGTTGGCCGATTTTTTCTGTCACGTCATATTTCAAAATTTTGTTTTTTTTTTTTTTTCAATTTTTTCGTTCGTCGACGTTACAAAAAGTAAATATACATACAAAATAAGTTTTAGAGAGTTGTAAGAGAAAGGAGGGAAGTACCGAAGGTGATTTTTATGGTAGCAAATGCGCGCATGCGCAGTATTCATTGTGACACTACAACAGTTCAGTGAAAACTTGTCGCTTAATTGTTTACCTTTTATATCAAATATTTTGGTAAGTTTTGCATAAAGTTCATGCTCTCTACATTGGATTTAAGTATTTGATGTGTAGTTTGAGTTTTTTTTTTTAAGTAGAGCCAATAAATATAAAATAGAAGTTGTTTTAAAATTAATTTTATGTAAATTTAGGTTACAAAATGCCACGGACTTGTAAAAATTCCTCAGATATACATACTAAAAACACAGCGACATGTCATGACCGATCTGGTTAAAACAGCTTATAAGCTATATTTTGGATTTTCTATCGATGAGAGAGATGAAAGTTGGTTGCCAAAAGTATGCTGCAATAGCTGCTCAAGAACGTTGCGAGGTTGGCTTGGAGAAAGTCACAAATCCATGCCGTTTTCAATGCCAATGATTTGGAGTGAGCCTCAAAATCATGAGAATGATTGTTATTTCCGCATGACATTTACACGAGGATTCTCGAAAAAAAATAGAGATAAGATTGTTTATCCGTTCGTCCTATCTGCAAAGAGACCAATTCCTCGTGATAAAGACACTCCACCTCCAGTTCCACCAGTTAATGAGGAGGCTGAAAATAAAAATATTTCAGGTCTACAATCTCAATCGAGTTTTCTTTCTGGTAGTACATCTTCATCTTCATACACTTTATCTGGATCTTCATGTCCATCTACAGAACCTCATTTACTTGAACAAGGCGACTTAAATGATCTTGTTAGAGACTTGGGACTTTCAAAATCTAAGGCACAGCTACTCGGATCAAGGTTAAAACAGTGGAATCTATTGGTTAAAAGTACCAGAGTTTCATATTTTCGTACTAGGCAAGAAAGTTTTACAAGTTACTTCTCCAAAGAAGATTATTTGGTATATTGTAATGATGTTGCAGGGCTTCTTCAAGAACTAAGTTTTCCAGAAGATTCTAGTGAATGGAGAATTTTTATTGATGCTTCTACTTCATAATGGTAATAAATACCCATCTGTCCCCATTGCACATGCTACAAGCATGAAAGAAAATTATGCAAACCTTGAGGCATTACTTGAGAAAATTAAATATTCTCAACACCTATGGAATATATGTGCTGATTTAAAAGTTGTCGCCATACTGACTGGACTACACAAAATTTAGGACATAATGCAAATTGAAAAACGCAGCAATGCTTGCTGATTTCTGTTGGTCAATTCACCGAGAAACTCCAATGGAATCTATGAAGAGGAAGAAAACTACTAAATAATTTGAATTCTACCACTCCATAATGAAATAACTGACGATATTTATTAGTTTTGTTAATATAATTTAGGACTTTTTACTGTAAAACTCAAGCCGCCACATTTTTTTATTTCCTTATAATAATTTATACTTTAATAATATTGTTTTTTGATGAAATAAATATTAAATTAAAAACCTACGTGTGGTACTTATTCGTATATCAGATTCCGTGTTTAGAGCATAAAATAAGATGAATTGATGCATGAAAACAAGGAGAGAAAAAAAATTTTTTTTGGTATTATAGGCGCAACCGGAGAAATACCATATATATTGATCGAAAACCTAAAAAAGCTCAATGTTAGAGAGCAGATATTCCACCAACTACAAAAAATAAGTCTCATTGAAAAAATAACCTAAAGCTTTCCCACCTGTCTTCTTGCGGCCATGTTATTGTTTTTTTTTTTAGTGTAATTTAATAAGAATGTGCAAACCTAAATAAACAAAAAAAAGTTAATACCAAAACCTTTGAGAGTCTGTCCTTAATGTTGTGACTACCATAATTGCTGGCAAAAGCCAGCACGATGAAGATTGGAACAGATTATACCAGCATTTGTTATTAATGTAGACGAAGGATCATTTTCTGGTAGAGGATGTTCCAATTTTGGCTCTGACGATGAAGACGTTTCATCGTAAATACAAACTAAATATGGTTTGCTTGTATATTAACTCTAATAATAATAATAATTCATTTAACAAATTGTCCCCTTATCTATTATCAGATAGAAAATACGTGAATCCATCTCTGAGTATTTGCTTACTTGTTAAATTGATAAATGCCAAGTACAACTGATTCTGTCTCTCTTACTTCCAAGTATAATCGTGATCGTTAGTGACGGTTGTCTTGCGTTGATCACATAGACATTTAGGATGGAACAATATCGGTTGAAGTATCAAGGGAAGCGAGATAAACAATCTATTTTATTCTCTCTGGCACTTTACTGCCGACTATGCCATCGCAAATCGTACAGACTATATATGTATCAACCCAATGTACGTAAAATTAATCATTCGCAGAAATTGGCGCAGTCGTTCGGAATCAACGCAGTCGGTCAGTTTCACAGAGCCCAAAGCCAGTTACTGGCTTTGACTTGCGGCAGATATCCCCTAATCCGGACCTGTCATTCGGTGGTGGCCGCTTCATCTGGAATAGCACCAGAACAAGTGCAACCCGTAAGTTTTTGTGTCAAAAGTCGGAGAATACAGCAGTAGTGGAGGAACTAATATCCATTTTGAACCACTAACACCAACAAATTTAATGGAGCAATTTAACAGATATCAGGAAAGATGACCACTTCGAAATGACGGCGGCTGCAGATGCCACAAGAATACGCTTGGTGTCATTACTAACGCTATCTTCATCTTTCCTGGCATCTTCCCCATGATACATAAAAAATTTCTCTAGCGGCTTAACTGAATACAGGGCTTGTTGAATGGTTGGTGGTGGTCCCAGATCAACTTCTCCATCTTCTTCTTCCTCTTCGTGATTTTCCTGACCCTTTCTTGCTTGTTGTAATATGGCTTCCTCTGTCAAGTCTGTTGTTGTAAGCAATTCCTGATCTATCACCATAAAATGGTGTTAACTCAATATTCCGTAGATTTGGAATATGGGAATGTGCAGGGCAGTTATCTAAGAGAAGTAATATTTTCCTCCTCTTTAATTCTGCATCCCATTTCCGTATCTCCTCTTCAAAAATTTGCAATGTCTTCCATGCAGACTGTTTTGATGTTCTAAAACATCGTGGGTTAGTTGATTTTCCAATCACGAGTAGCTTTCTTTTTTCTCTCCCACTCATATTGGCAGTTACTAACACTGTTATACGTTCTTTAGAAAGTTCTAGGTACTATTTTGCTAGTTTTGGCCACGTCTTCTCCAGCCAATCGTTAATAAAGTTTCTGTCGACATCACGGGCTTCGCCACTTCTCTGTCCATAATTTATAGCATCAACACAACAGCAAACTTTTCTGCTTTTAATTTTACGATAGGTCCAGAGAGTGGTACATTTTTAAGGCGTTGCTGTTGGAACCACTGCAACATTGCCCGAACCAAACCTTCAAATTTTGGCTTTCGTAGTTTTTTAGTAGAACTGCTTGCTGGTTCATCGTGAATGATTTATTTATAAAGTGGGGAAAACTTGACAAATGACATATTTTGCTTATTATATAACTTATTTGTGTTTATATTCACCTATTTCAGACTTAAATTGCTTTTTAAAATAAATTTTCCTTTGTATGTAATGTTAAATTTCGTAAATATTTTTAACATAATACTTGTTTGTTGTTGGGCTTTTTATTTAAATATGCAATTAAAATGGATCCTAAGGTTTGCTAGATTTGTAAGAAACAACAAACTTACGAATAACTTACAAATCTTGGATAATAATAACAATAAAAGCTTTTCGGAAAAAAATAAATTTAATTTCATTAAAATTCTTTAATGGTCCAAAATTATTACCCAATAATTTGCGTTTTGTAAAATATGTGACTGTTATAAACTTTACCTTTAAGCCAAACTTATTTAGAACAATGTAATAAGATCAAAATATAAAGAAACTACAAATAAGCAAAATAAACATTAACCTTAACCTAACGTTGTTTACCAACCCTTGTCATGATCGATCGTAACATAACCTCGTGATGAATGGCTAGCTCAATTTTAATGTGGATTTTATTGGTAAGAAATTAGAAGCAACTTGCTTTTAATCGTTACGTTTCGAATGAAAACACACAACTACTTTTTCCTTTTTACAAAACTTCTAGATTCCCCCTGCGTCGGTTTTTGTTGTCAAGCTTTGTAAAAAGTATCACAGTAGCCTGTGGACGTTTCTTAAAAAAAAAGCTGCAATTTTACAGGAACTCCTGCCCGTATTCCTCAGTTATTACCCGTCCGCGCTAAGCCTGAAGACGCTGGAGCATTACTCGCAACTAATAAACAACGCGACATTCTCGTGGTACGACCACGGGCCGTCGAAGAACGTTCTGGTATATTCTGCGACTGCGCCGCCGGTGTATGACGTCAGCAAAATCGAATTACCCCTACACCTGTTTATAGGCACCGCCGATATCATCGGCAACGCTGCCGTAAGTCTTGGATGCTCGTAAAAATATGTCATGGCAACCAAGTCGATATGAGTCTTAATTTTATCAAGTGGGCTTGGTGAGGGACATTAACATTATTTAGTAACAATGGGGATGAAGGTCGTAATTCGTTTTTTGAGGAAAAGTTTGCCAAAAGTAACCATATATTACACTGAGTTAAGCTTCGGTTGGAACTTGACCCTAGATGATTAAAACTCGGGTTTATTTTTTACACAACCGGGCCACAACTTTACTCAAAATCACCAAAAGTAACCAATATATATATATATATATATATATTAACACGGGCTGTTAAAAACGATTATTTCGCTTTCGCTCCCTAACCAGCCATGTTTTTTTTTTATTTGCAGGACGCCGCGATCCTTTACGATAAAACGAATTCGGGTAAAACGAACACTCAAACTTGGCGGTACTTTTTCCCGTTCGCTCATAACGACTTCTTCCTCGCCAAAGACGTGGGACCCTTCTACGAGAAGCTCCTGAGCGTCCTCGATGGTATGCGTGCCACCGCCAGCTCGCAATCCTCGAAAATAATGACCAAAAATATTTAAAAAAAGAAATAACTGATAGCATATATGTAGTATTATGTAAGCAAAACACCATCCGGCACGTGTATATAGGAATTAAATTTATGACGTTCTTTTTGAAAGCGATTTGATTATGTATTAGAATTCTGATGAATCCGTACCTCAAAAATTTCCATTCTTATACTGTTACGTAGGAGCGTAAAAACACTGCGGATAAAAATTTCAGAATATAGAGGAAAGGCACCTAATATTTGGAACCTTTTTATTTTTGTGAAATAAAGGCGTAAAAATTGAATGTTTAAAAATAGTTTTATGTACAAAGGATAAACCGTTGTGAATACATTTTACTTTAAAACGTTAAAGTTATTCTTAATATTAATTATATTTGTAAAGTAATAGAAACTTTTTGTTAATTTCAAAATTGGTCTCCTAAGCTAAGCAAAGTCCAAAATACAGTCGAAAATCGCGAAAAAAAGATGGATATCGGCGTCGGATCAGGGCCATTTCTTATAAGCTTATCTGCCTCGCGGAGGGTTGAAAAGGAGACAAATTTCAATTTTGTAGCTCCAACGATTCGAAAGTTATTCAGGAAAACCAAAAGACGAAAACGGAGAACGGAGAACAAACAGACCAAAAAAAAATTTTTTTTTGAGGGTGATCATTTCTGTACTAACGGCGATCCCGTGGGACCGTTACCGAGATATACAATTTTTATACGAGCGCAGATACTTTCGAAAATTCGATTTCATCGATTTTCGAAAGTAACAAGAATAAGGATGTCACACACTAAAATTGAATCGAAAAAAAGTTTCTTTCCCTTGCCTTTTGTCGCACCTAAGAAAAACAAATTGTGTGCCTTCAACTACGTATAGCCCACTGCTTGATACAGTTTCAGCCTTTTTGGTACTTTCAGCTTTATATCGTTTATCCCTTGTTCCTGAAGACTTTCGTTTTTGTTTTTCTCTTTTTCTAGTTTCTTGGGCAACATTTTTCGAAGAGACCAGCAGCACTTTTTTTTGCTCTCCTTCCAACAATTCAGTGTCCCTGAAGACACTTTTCTTGCAAGGAAAGGAACCTTTTTTCCAAAACAAATAATTGATGCTTCCATTGTTGAAGTCCGGAGACCAAAATACTTTCTTTCGATTTCGACGCAGCCGTCCGATTTTGCTTATAAAAGCTAAACTCCAATCCATCCAATCCATTTAAAAATAATTGCAAAACTTATTTTTAGGCAGCTGCAAAAAAATAATTATTTAAAATAAAAAAACTAATAGCGCGCCTGATATGAGATATCTCATATTAAGATGCTTGTTGTATCTCATATTAGGAGCCTTATGGGGAAATGTTCCATACACCACATAAGCTTCTATGCGTTTTATTTATTTTAAACAATAAAGCAACATCCACACAACAAAGCAAATAATAAAAAAAATCTCTTGAAAAGAAATTCATAAAACCACATGCACGTGCCGTATTTTGACAACAACTAAAACCAATTCCAGCTGATTTCATATTTCACCTTCGCTTCGGAGTCGCTAGATGGCGACTGTTTGTTAAGATAAATAAACAAACAAAAGAAATTCTATCATCACCAAAACCATTGAAATTCTGTCCCTAATGTTCCGTCCTTTAATACCTACCAAGCCGTCGGCAGGTAACTTCCATAATTACTGGCAAAAGCCAGTACGATGAATATTGGGACAGACTATATAGTCAGGTTTATCAGAAAAGATAAATAAACGCGGAGAGTGTCGGTGCCCCGCCCAGATAGGCAACCCTTTAAACGTCAATTTAAGAATAACGTCGCTCCTTATTTAACGGTTTACATTCGATAAGCGCGCTACTTATCCGCGATTACTTTGCATCCGCGTTCGCTTTATCTTCCCCGGGAACGATCCCGCTCATTCGCCTGGATAATCGGACCGGTAGCCCGCGGGAACGCAGGTGCAATTTTTTAAAATAGGGCCTTTCCGGTTCCGCGCAACTTGACAGATAAAATTTAAGTTTTCCCGTCGCCGCAGCTAACGCGGCTTACAGGGTGGACCATTACAGAGGCCCGCAATTTTTAAAGTGATAAAATGGAATAATCATTTCCCTCTTTCAGGTTTTTTGTCAACATTAAGGAAATTAATAAATGAAAATCTCGGTTGATTTTAACATTTTTCAACACGCATATAATAAAATAAAAAAAATAACCATAAAACCTACCATAATTAATGTCATTTTCATCAAATAAAGGCCACCTCAGTTCAACATATATAATACACAGGGTGTTAAATTAAAAAAAATATATTATGTAAGGCTTCTATGGCAGAAAATTGATAGTGTTTTGTTTTATACGTCACTTGGATTAAAGCTTGGCCACTAACCCTACATTTTGCAACTATGCAACGTAGGGTAAATTTATCTAACATGTTTTCTACAATGTCTTCGTAATTTGGATATTTGTCTGAGAAATGTGTTCATAAAAATGGGACCACCATTTAGTATTTAGTATTTAGAATGGTTAAAGAATTTTTTACCTTAGTGTCTTGTAATTTTTAAAATTTTTGTTGAAAATAACTTAAAAAATACATTTGCCTAATTTAAAATCAATTAACTTTTCGTATTTCTTCCAGGTCCACAATTTTTCTTGGCGGTTTCTATTCTACATTGTACCTGGCATTTATTGAAAAAATAAATAAAATTAAAACCTGAGGGAGTTTGTAATAATATTATTGCGAAATATTAGGCGTACACCAAAAGTTGAAAAATAAACCGCTCTTATAGAATTCAATGGATAGACACAGGTTGAAAAATTTTCTTTTTTCTTTCTTTCTCTGTGGGCTGCTAGAAATAATCTACGCATTCCAGTTTTATTCTACTTAATTCTCCACTGTAAAAGAAAAAATTAATTGTATTACTTCGCACAGCTTGTTTTACTGTAATAAAATTTTTATTTTAAATAATTCATGAATTCTATGTCATAAGTCATAAATTAAATTCTCAAAAAGATGAATTGAAATTCTGATAAAAAAAACGATGTCACTAATTCAATTTTCAAATGTCATGTACATTTGAAAAAATCTCAAATTTGCACGTCCTGTAGTCAGTTCCGGTTCTAACCGGATGCAAACGTACGTCTCTGAAGAAGAGCTCGCGATAAGGGAACAACTTAATTATCTCGACTCGAACATAAGCGACTGGAACGGCTTTTTGGGTCGAAACAAGTCTGCAATGCATAGAATTAATACATCTGGAATGCTGGAAGAGCGAAAAATGAATGGAGGTTTGGATGGTACGAGCGTGTTGCCAAATAAAAGAAATCTCGTCAATTATAAATACGCACAGGCACTATATTGGAGCAACACTGTGTACTTTGAATAACCATAAACGTCGGTTTTTTTTTTTTGATTTCATACCCACCAAACAAGAAATTCTTTTATTTTATCGCAACTGCCGGCAACGTCGCTGTCAAATGATCGTGGAACTGTAAATTTCATCCAAAATTTCCTAATATCATGATAGCCTAAGAGTTTCTTTTTAATTCATTGAGGTTCTGTTATTATTAACGTTTTACTTATTATTTGATGTAATTAATCCGATTTCTTCCATTAAAGCATTATCGATAAAACATTTTTCATATTTATCAACAATCGACGCAGTACGAATACAGAAGATTTGAAAATAGTTCATAGTAGCTTGTGAAACTTTCTTCGAAAAAAATAAAATGAACAATTTTTGCAAGAATTGAATGCGATTTGAGGCGATGTTCGGATATTTCTCGAAGGATCATCAGAATCGAACGCGAAATATCATACAAAAATTATCCCAGATTATTACCATTATCACCTAATATTTTATTACCTAATATCACCACTGTAACCCCATTGGTAAGCGCTGATTACCATTACATCTCCATTTATCATTACGATTTCCGTTACACTTGAACTATAATCCCACTACTGAGTACTTGGTTACTGAGTACTGAGTACCACTGCACCTCCATTAATTACTTAATTACATTCAAATTTTCCTTAAATTACCTAATCTTGCCACTATAATCGCACTACTGTTTATTGGCTAACATTACACCTCCACCTACATCCAAAAATTTTATTAAATTAAATGACACCTCCATTAATTACTTAATTATTTCTAACATTTTCTTAAATTACCTAGCATCATCACTATAATTGTAGTAATGACAACTGATTAAAATTACATCTCCACTTGTCATTAACTATCTCACGTGTCGTTTAAAATTTCCACTAATTGTTTCCAAACTTCATTAAGTTACAAGTAATTCCACTAGAAACCATTTAAAGTCGCTACACCTCCACTAATTACTTAATTATATCCAAAATTTTCTTAGATTACTTAACATCGTCACTATAATCGCACTACTGATTGTTGACTACCTCTATACGTCCACTAATTATTTAATTACTTCCAAAATTTCACCCTCATTAATTACTTAATTAAATCCAAAATTTCCTTAAATTTCCCAATATCGCCCCTATAATCGCATTATTGCTCAGTTGCCTACCAAATCCAAAATGTCATAACACCTCTACTAATTACGATTTCGCGTAAAACCGTGTACCCTAAATTACCCCAAATGAAATCCACGTGCGCACGTGACTAAAGTGTCGTTATGGCATTAGGACGTCATTTGTTAGTCAAATAAGTCGAATTCGTTTTGCGAGAGGGCTGTTGATATCGCGCCCAGACGAAGACCTCCTCCGATTCGAGCACCTGCGATGGCGCATGGCGTCGAGACGACCTGCGTCGACGAACGTTGTCGGACGCTAAACAGTTGTGCAGTGGACGGCCGCGGAGACGCACCAGATAAGCGTCGCGACGCTCCAAACGTACATCATCATTCGACACACGTCTCGCAATATGTTGCGGTTTTTCACCTGAGAGCTGAACGGTAGGGTGGTGGCCGGTTGTCTTCGAGACCCCTCGATCGCGCGCCACTGGAAACCGGTGAGTTTTAAACTAACGGATCCGGAACGATGAACGCGTGAACTTTGTAGTTGTATCGTCCTGTAAGTTTATTGCATTTTCGTGTGTTACTCGATACGTACTGGGTTATTCATTATATTTTGACATCCACCTGCAGGGATAATTTTGAAAGATGGAAAATTATATATTAGATATTTCAAAAATCGTCAAATATAAAATTACATTATCCAAACGGTCATAATGTTGCAAGCTTAAAAGAGAATATCGACAAATATATCCGGGCAGAGGAGTTCCTTCAATAAATACAATTAAAAATGTAATTAAGCAATTTGTGGACCGAAATAGTGTAACAGGGAAGACCAGGACAATAGAAAGAAATTTTGATGAAAACCTCAATCTAAATTGTAAATTAAATGTAAATTATTATACAATTACGACACTGGATATATCATGACTTTGAGTTCTACTTTCTTAG